TGGTATCTACCTATTACGTGGATAGGCTTTTTTTCTATTCATCATCTTTTGCACATTCATCTATTTCGACAACGGTAATGGGCTAGCTCATCAGGAATTCTTAAAAATGAATAATGGAAGTAATAGTGTTTCTAGATCGACAAAATGAACTCTGTTTCATAAAATAGTAAATTCACTAAGCTCTCAGGTCCGAAAGTCCTCGAGTGATATAATCGGCGCATTAGTCTACAACCACTGATTAAAATATGACCTAGATAATTCATACATTTTGAAAAAAATCAAAATATTATCTTTAAAAGTTTCATACACCGTTAGCGTGACGCAGCAAAAATCATTTTTTAAGTCAGTGACGATACCAGTTTCTGAAGTGCTCCATCGTCAAAAAAAAGCATCGCCAATTTCAATCACTTATTAACGTTGTGGAAATCACAATCAAAAGACAAACAACCATCACCATTGAGAAGTAACTCCAGACTCATTTACTCTAATACTAAGAAGCTATTTCATGAGAAAATTTCACGAATTCAGAAAAATCTTGGAGAAAAGAGTAGCAGTGTTCAATGAAGCTGCCAAGGTTGGAAACTCCCCAAAGTACCTTTAACATCAATGAAAATGAGAAAAGAGATCTAGATCAAATCACCGCTACGTTCACAAATACAGAGGCTCATTTGTGCTTTAGTTTCTCTAGAAACCACTTTTATGAGCCTCCAGTCTAATAAGCCCTAAAAAAATTGGTATCGCAAAGCCACGGCTCTGGTTAAAGTGCGGCTCATTGTCCGCTTAGTTGGAAATAGTACATAACCATTCAGATGGAGAGGACGAGGTCTAAAATTTAGAAAAGGAAATTTGACTAGTCTTAATTGGATTTCCTAGACTGTGTAGTGGTGAGTTCAGGAATGCACTTCCCAGAGTAACCTTAACATCAATGAAAAGGAGAAAAGATATTTATATGAATGTACTACTACGTTCAGAAATACAGATGCTCATATGTGCTTTAATGTTTCTTGTAGGCTAAAAAAGTCATGTAAGGAAGTAAGGCCTCAGTAACATTCTTAATACACAAATTAATTTCCTCAAAATTGCAATAGTTAGAAAGATCTTGAAAGACATTTCATCAGTCTTGACTGGCATATTCAAATCCATCATCAGATACACAAAACTCCTCTACTAAGTTTACGACAAGTAATACAGTCGTCAAAGACATCATCTTGAGCCAATGATACAATCTCACCTAACTCAGCATCTCTCCAATAAACTTCGGTAAACAGAAACATATGGAAGTGAATGTCATCACTGACAGCTTATACTGCATTTGTTTGCTGACAACACAGGAGCACATATCAGCAGTGATAGGTTATATTGGCGGTCAATGTACACGAAGGACTCGTATTTGACAATATACACGACCTCCATGAAGGATGAGAGGCGCATGTGATGCTATGGTTAGAGGTGTTCTGCGTTCCACACAAGGTCAATGGTTTGACTTCGCGCACACAGCTCAACAAGCCACCAATACCTCTGGGGTCGGTAAATCAGTACCAGACTCCTCTCAGACCTGTCTAGGAGGATAAGCAGCGCTAACTTAGTAGGAAGCTAAGCCTCGGCAAGTCACTGTAGAAGGCCAAATATGCGTTTAATCACCTCAAAAGAAGTTAACGATTGAAGACGAATGCATGGCGCATCCCTCAGAAATTAATCAACTGCGAGAGCTTCATCTTTCAATCTTTGTAAGTAATGAGCATCAGACTTGATTATCCTATATTCAGTTCCTCAATTACGTCATGAACACCGCTTCTCATAGTGCATGTGTGAAACGTAGTTGCAACGCAAAGTAAAGCGCCATCAAAGTGACCAAGAGAGTTGCCGAGTGAATGACAGTGAAAGCTCTTGTCTCGAGTACTTACTAGTCATTGTTTGAAATTCTCAATCACGTAAGTGATTCAGATTTTGCAGGGATGTTTCTACAAAATCGGAGATGTTTAGAATCGGAGTAACATCTTGCGTCTAAACTCATCGAAAAAGAAGTCGCCAATTGTCGAATGACACGAAAGTCCCAATTATTAGAAGCATCATCGATCTAACAGCTATATCTTTCTGCGACAATCCTCATCAAAATCAATTATGATTGCCGCCTTGTAAGGATTTTGTCGGCTGACTGAAGATCAAATGATTTCTAATGTGAAGATGAATACTATGATAAAAACACATCTATAGTTCTCGATGTATAGCATCGAATGATCGTATAGGGCTTCTTCTCACCAGATTTCCATCGGGATCAGTTTATTGCCTTCCATAACCTTATCAAATTATCAGTATACAGTTAGCAAAAATATAGGATTCTCATTTTCCATTTGATCGTAGTTCAACTTGTATGAGCAAGGTGAGTTATTAAAGTTGTTGAATGTATTGTCTACAACTTCTTGCTTTTATGAACAATTAGAGGTAATAGCATAATGTATTTCAATGCTAAAATGAGATTTATTTGGCTTACAGCATAATTGAATTAACAAAATATATGTTACATGAGTTTGAAGTGCAGGATTATAACCTATTACTCTACAGCCAAGCGAATCGGCGCCAAAAAGTGCTGGAAACGCTCCAGAACATGACGATTTGAAAGTTTTGCGAGAAAAGCAATGGCCGATGAAGCCCCGTTCTTTGTCATACCAAAAGGTTGGTTTTAAAATTTTTGTAATTTAGTGGCAGCCTCTTTTGTAGAGGATTTGAGGATCCATTCGTTAGTTTCAATTATCAGTTGAGCAGAATCATACGATTTCGTAAACGCAATAAGAATTCGTCAGTTTCAAAGTATCATTAGCCTCCTGGTTGTAGATCCAACAAACGATGAAGAACTCAAAACCGACCGAGTTTGCTATGGAGGACTACAAAGTGAGAAAGTTGTGTTTTGTCAAATAACTTAATATGCCGCAGTATTCTCAGTGTTTGTGGACGCAGTGGCTAAGGGTGTCTTGGTGCACACACACATCTTCGATGGATCAATCCCAGGTCCAAGGTTCAGCGAGCCATTCATCATTTCTTGTTAGCTATTGGTGCCAGACTTGTCGTGGAGGTTAGCACCACTGACTTGAACATTGATGGGTCATGGCGAGTCACTGCACAGGTCAGATATTAATGAAATCCCTCCTAATATTTGATGAAATCGAACCCATGACGCATTCTCCAGGAACTAACCAGTGCCGATGGCCTTATGCATTATCCTTTCGTTCCTTAGTACAGGTGTAGTTTATTACTCAGTTTCACCAGGCTTAATGAGGAAGGGGACACTTTTTGTATTCGATCAGCACATATTGGTATTAAGAAGCTTAGCGGACTGAACTCGAGGGAAGCTTTAAGGTGATCATGATGTGAATGCACAGCCCGCCTTCATGGTTAAGCATCTGTAGTCAAAATCTGTGGAAATGGCGGTGAAATTGTTTCATATCTTCGGGGACCAAAGAACTTTTCACGCAATGATTATCTTGCCATAGCTGTATCAACGGAGAGTTCATTACAGCATTGTCGACCTTTTCGATATTCCCTTTTTCAAAAGGAATGAACATCATAAAAGCTCTCAGGAACACTTTTTTCAGATGAAGCACTTGAGTTCAATGTTGAGCGTATGTTATGGAATCGGAAAGGTGGAAAACAGGTAAAACAACGTTGCAAAGATTTCGCTTTACTGTAAATCCTACTAAATTACTAGGGAAAAAATACCAACTTCGCAAAGCTTTGAATAAAGATTAGTTTTCTAAGCTTTTCTTCTCATTTTCAAATTTTATATTTTTAACATGCCGAGGTTTCAAGAAAGTCGGTCTTTCGAGTCGATTCACTATACTTACAATGAGCAAATACGGAAAATACAGATATCTCATGCTGTGAAAAATATTGCCATCTGTGGATTTCCCCTCTTCTGGCTTAATTATCTGTACTTTTTTGCCATTATCGAATCTTCATAATGCGCATGTATGGTATTAACGTTAGATTGGAATTCATTTCTCTATATAAAAGATGATTTCATACATCTTCTTCTGAAATTATGTTACAGATTCTCAGGGTCACCAACAGAACACCGAAAAAGAAGGCATTCAAGATAAAATGTAGTGATAACAACATTTTTCGGTAAAGTTTACTCTTGTGAATGGGTGTCAGTTACTTTCGGTTTTTTTAGTACAAAAGAAACATTATTTTTTTTGATACCATTTCGTCTTAAGTGTTTCCTTAGACTACGCTCAAATTTCAATATGCCTGATAACTATTATAATTAATGGGAATCTCCTGCAAAAGAAATTGGCTCAGACGAAAGGCACAGTGTACCGACGAGGCTGATAGGCCGAAACACGTGTACTGCACTGTATAAGTGCCCATAACAGACCACATGCCTGGTCCAAAAATAATCATCAAGCATTCTTCTTGATATAGAGATATTGTTTAAAAAAACCACTTAAGTTTTCCTCAAATCTCAGCTAAATACGACAATGTTTAATAATAACAACGACAATAGTAATCGACTAGAAACAGTAACAAATTTTCTACACGGCGTGTTATCACACTTTACTCAACGAATCTCAACATTTCTCAAAATTCAGTTTTTTTCCTCCTATTCGTCATCCCAAAGGTCTTCAAGTTTCAAACATCTCGCATATTCTTCCAGTGCAGCTTGGGGATTTTGTCCTCGTTGTAAAAGTTGTAGAATATCGTTTGCTCAGATTTCTTTACAATGCTGAGAATAACCACGTTAACTCTCCCACGCGATTCCAAGTCCTAGAGAGTGGTCGAACCAGCACCCCGCTTCCTGATGACGTGCAGCACTAGCACTCGGACTTCTCCCATATAGTGGTAATAATAATAGTGATAATAATGACAATAATACTAATAATGTTAAAAATATTATTGATAGTCCAATAGCTATAGTGACAGTAATGATAAAGAAGCAATATAAAATCTTTTATTGAAGTGTTAAGCAAAAGAGCGTTGTGTTGGAAGAGTGTTGTGCAAAACGAGCGTCGGTGGTGCAACGGTTCAGCTTACGCCCCCGGAAAGAGTGAGACCTGAGTTCGAATCCCGCCTGACACAAATGTTCTTGCATGGCACTCTACATTATTGGATCTATTATTAAAATATCAAAAATAATGCTGATAAGAATAGCGACAATGACAATAATAATAATTTTATTTTGATGATGAAGATGACGTTGAAAGGTACACTTAATCGGTTCAAAATATCATTTGCTCAAGAGTCATTCATTAGTTTGTTTCTTTGGATTTTGACGGCTTGCGCCGTTGAAACCGATAAAGATAGTAGAATAGAGTAAATCACTCACTTCTATGTTGCATACACGAGTTGTCGAAAATTTTTGACTCAGGAGCATAACTTATGCCTAACTAAATACTTGGTCGGTCTGTTCTACCATATCAATCGCGTCTCAGCACTCTTTCCATGTTTTATATTGTCTTGCAACCGTCACCATAGCCATTATTGCAATCGAGCATAGGCTTGATAATTTAGAAATCTCTAGCTTTCAGTTACTGTCAAAAGGTGTGCGTCTAATAACTTAATCAAAAAGACACAGATTCGATGATTGGTTGATCGACAGCATAAAGGCGGTGTGACAATCGAATTGTACGTTGAGAAGTATAGACGAACAGAGTTGCATAGGTATAAATATGCCGTCTAAGTCAGAGAGTTCACTGGATTTTTATAACACAAAGGCATTATCACTTCGGAAACCAAAGAACTGTACAAAGGAATAAAGCAGCTGCAACATTTGCCTTCTTATAATCTATCATTTAAACCTGCATTATTAATATTTATACCTATTCGAGAGATTTGTATTCACATTTATGCATACTCTCTGACCTACCCATCTCTATGATTATTCGACCTGTCACTTCTCAATAAAATTTTTACTAATCGTAGTGTAGCCTTGTGAATGAACGCTCTATTCTTCTTAGGCCAATTGTTCAAAAATGTTATATATGGCGAGGAAATTCGCATAACAATGGCGTTGAAGGCGGTTAGAAAATCATAATGCACATGATACAGGGTAAAACCCGTGTTTGGAATAGTGAACACAGAAGAGGTCGTTGAGATCGAAATAACACGCAAATCAGACGCTCCAGTGAAGGAGGACAAGGTCGTCTTCTGTTCTGTAGAGGTAAGAACTCATAAAATTTTCTGAAAAAATAAATAAAAAAATCTATCAAGTTGCTACAGAATGCTTCATTCATTCCTTAATAATTAACATTACAAAACAAAAATGCTGAGGTACGAAAAAAAAGCACGAATGCTCAGCTGGGCTTCGAACCTGTGATTGATTTTTTCGACGGAGTATCATCTTCGTTGACGAGTAATTGATATTGGCAGCGATACCGTTAAGACTAAGCTGTGAGAAGACTAAGCAAGGACCTCCGTGGTATAGTGGAAAATATAAAAGCTTCGGAAACGGATAGTCACAAATTTAGAGCCCAACCGATGTTTCTAGTTTTGTTTATATCGTTACATTCTTGTGGCTGTAGTTCACATCAAATTTTACCACGAAAATAGACAGTCAAACCTCAAAATCTCCACTATGCTGGTGAAGTCCTTCCACAGCATTCTTAATCAACAGCCAGATGCCTACAGAGTATAGGCTTCGCCTTTACTAAGTTCGTATGCGTTCACTATTGTCGTAAAGAGAACGTGCGCTGTAATTGGTATGATTATCTTATATATATTATATATATATATTTATTTATTTTATTTATTATATATATATTATTATATTATATATGTACATATATACCCAATGTTTTGAAATTTTTTCCGTCTTTCCAGCTGTCAATTTTTAGCACGAATCCGGAGAAACGAATTTGGAGGCCTTATTCAAGAAGCCTACTACCGTGACCGAAAACAAGTGCATCTTTCAGTCGATTGAACCTGCACAACCGTCGCAAAGTTTGGATATTATTAGTATGGTCAAATGTTAATCACTGGAACTCTGCTGTAACCATAAGTCGACTACCCTAAAATTTCGAAGATAAGATCGGTCTCTGCTGGAAAGCAGTCTTTGATAGTAACTTTAGTAATCTTCAATAATTTTATTAATTTAGTAATTTTTAGAAATTTTCATATATACCTATTTCTGGAAGAACAAAACAAATTCGAAAAAATATTTAATTACCGAAAAGACAAGTGTTTGTCCGTTCTTTTCTTGCAAAGTTTAAACCGCTCATGCCTATGAGATTCTAGGGTGACTTCCGTTTTTCATTGGTATGTACATTCTTTCGCTGAGATGTCACCCATACAAAATAACCATTCATTATCATCGCATACGATACAATGAGTTCCACGTGATGCACTACACTTTGAATAAAAATCTTGGAGACAAGCTCATACATTTCAACCTTTCTCAGTGTCACCATATTCAATACAAACTTACTGGTGAAATTTTCTGATAACAATAAAGTCTTACTTTTTCCTCCTTTTGTTATAGACTCTACCAGTATTACGCACAGTAAGAAAATACATAGCCGTAATGGTTTCCATTTGTCGAATTGGTCAAAGGTCATTCCTTTGTTTAGAATTCAAAGAAAGAATATTGGACACGATCAACCCTTCAAAGACCATGTAAAACATTTTGCTTCTCAACACGCGATGCCAAGTCTCACTCAGCTACCGTAACGGCCGCGTCACGCCTCGTGAGAAAGCTGACGCATCTCATGGGAAGACAGACGCAGACAACATCATGCATGCCAGGGGACGAATGCAGGTTCTAAGAGAGTTTCTACAGAGGTTAATTGAAGTTCTTTATAGATATGAGAACTGGATGAGGTAGAGGTCATCTCGGAAGCATAGCGGACTAAAAGGAGTATGTAGAGCACACGAAATGACAAAGATTGCAGCGTTGAATAACGTTCATAGTTGAAACCAATTGACAAATTCTAGAGGACAGTTGTTGAAGTGGCACTGTATTGCAAGCTGCAAAATCTTTTCTATCAAACAAGCCTTATTTTGTAATGTTTTCGCACAACTATGTAGTTTTTTGAGTTACATCCTCTGGTTTCCTAAAACTCGCAGCCCATACCCAGGGCGCACTCTTCTCTGACTTTTCTCTCACGATCTCAATCAGCTATTGTAACGCCGTCTAGTATCGTGGGAATGAAGGCGCTCGTGGTAACGCAGACGCAGACAGCATTACATCCCCACTGAGACACGCAGATGCCGCTCCTGCTAGTAGTGCGCATGAGACGCACGACGCCTCCTTCCTATCAGTCCAAGTCAAAGGGTTAAGGACAACGTTGAACTCATCAAAGGAGTCTGCAGCCGTCACGTTCCGTGTCCTCTTATCACTGGCTGAATTTCTTTTTCATTCATAATCCTTCCTCATCCTACCGATTTCAATAGCAATAATGGGCCCATAGGGGTGCCGTGACCGAGTGGCTCTGATGCTAGTCGCGGTGCGTGAGGGCTAAGCCTTCCTTTCACCCCAGAAAAACTCTCCGGCGGTCAACAACGAACGCCCTCTGGAACACCACAGCCAAGCTGTTTTCGAGATTGTACGGTATGGATGCGTGCTTGACCAGTTTTCTACGACGTTCAGAAGAAGATGAAGAAAAGAATGGAATGCTAGAAATACTAGGATCCGTGCAGTAATGAAAACACGGGGAAGACGGATCAGTACAGTGCCAAATTACCAAGTGGGTTTATAATTTAATGCTCGAGCAATCAACTGTTGAAAGCAAAGTTTGAAGAAGATCTATGTCCATACAAGCAGGATAACCGCAACGGGATGATTCATAACACTCCTTTTCTTCATCCATGGTTTCTTTGATGCAAGAAAGACAGACGTTAGCATCCTAATGCCAAAAATATGGCATTACAGCGTGATACGAAATGGAGTGGACTCTTTCTCAACACCCGTTCGAAAGCGTTAGATCGTCAATAAAATTGCAGGCAATTGGACAAGGATTGTTTGCAATTATACATCAGAAAAGTGTTTTACTTAATCTCATACTTACAATGTAGTTTCCAGCCTTTTTGCATTCACTTCGTCCCCTCAAATCCATTTTCACGTAGATCCTCGATTTTTCGTGTTAGGTCTGCTTGAAGATCCTTTCTCGTTATAAATGTCATCGAATGCTGGTAGAGTTACAGTTTTCTAATGTTGAGATAGGCGTACCAGAGTATTTTCAAGCAGAGAGTCAGAGATAACACCAAACTGAGCACCAAGGAATTTTTTCCAATTCGTCATCTCTTTCCTATAATATACAAGTATTTTCTCAGCTAACTAAGCATGAATGGTCCATTGCGCACTCATTTAACTGTCAATGTGCCAATAATGACTTTATCAGAATATTTGCTCGGTCGTTCTTTCCATATCTCGGTCACCACGCTCTGTCACGCTCTTCCATCATTAATTTTATGTCATAAAAATCCTTTGCTATCTATTCTACCATTCTTTTTTCTCATATATTCTTTGTAGTAGTTAGGCACAGACACTGCTGAGGCGCAAAGGCCACTCTCAAACCATCTCAAGCCCACGGGTACTTTACCTGTACACAAATTTCTCATGTTATTTTCCCTGTTCCATAATCTTGATCCACTAGGCCAAACGGTCGATTAGGTTCTTGCGAGCCAGTCCTCTATACGACCTTGAGCTCGCGCCAGTCGATGCCTCTCCGCATTCCGTCTGGTCGCTCGAATGTTGTCCTTTCTTAGTCAACATTTTTCGACTGTTCTTGTCCGTTATCTGGCCCCTAGAACATTCGGAGATACGGACACACATTCTTTTTGGCTGATTCTCCATTGGAAGCTTTTGATGTTTTTCAATTATCATACCCCACTGCAATCTTCTATTAGCGATAACTCTTCTGAACACTGCAAACTTTTTTGAGTCACTCCTCACAAAAAGGTGCTTTTTGCGTGAACATTTCTGAAAGAGTATTGCGAAACTTCCGTTCAACATAATTACTTTTTCGTATCTTTTATTGACTTGCCTCTGAAGATGGCTCTAGTAAAAGTGTTTTATAAATTCAAGGCTATTTTTGTACTGATGAAAGAGTGTTGAATTAATAAGATGTCTGCTACGAATTCTT